AAGTACAAGGAGAACAAGCACTTCATCAAGGCCCGACTCACGATGCGCGGCTTCAAAGACCACGACGAAAACTTGGCCACTTTCGCCGGCACGGCAACTCGATGGGGCCAGCGCGTTGCGAATGCCATCACGGCGCAGCAGGACGATTGGGCACTGTTCAGCTTCGATGTCAGCGCCGCTTTCGCGAAGGGCCTGACCTTCCAAGAGCTTTCTGAGTTAACAGGCGAACCTCTTCGCGTTGTGCAGTTCGAATTGCATCCTGATGATATCAAGTAATTGAGAGAGATTCCTGGCTACGAAGATTTCAACCCCAGCACAGAAGTCATCCAGATGGTCAAGGCAGTGTATGGCCTGAAGGACGCACCGCGAGCATGGCGCAAGAAGTTGCACTTGATCCTCGAAAGCTTCGGCCTCGAAGCCTTGTACGCGGACCCACAACTGTACGTACTCCACGACACGAGTGTCAAGTTGAACATGATTCTCAGTGCGCACGCTGACGACTTGAAGGGTGGAGCCCCGAAAACGGTAGCTATGGAGCTCCTCAAGCACTTGGAGAAACACGTGGGCACTTGTACACAGGAGTGGGCCAACTTCACACACGTTGGCATCGAGCACGTGACCAGAGCAGACGGCATTTACGCGCACCAGGAGAAGTATGTGGCTTCCCTCAGGGAGATCGACAAGAAGTTCTATGCTGAATTGCACGACGAGCAGGCAGTCAGCGTTGAGGCGAAGAGCCACTTCTCCATGCCTCACAATGCCGGCCATAGCGGTGCACGTGCAAGCACTACAGCGACACGGAGCCGAACCGAGAGCACAGGACCTACAGCGCGGAGCCGAACCGAGAGCACAGGACCTGAAACGCTTGAACCTTGTCTTGCGGTGGGTCCGCCGGCACAAGGTCGGCATCCTGTTCAGAAAACTGCCAGGACGCCTCCGACTTGTTGGGGTTACGGATGCAGCCTTCAAGGCGATTCCGGACGAGTCATCTGGACTTGCACTCCGCGGCTGCGTCATCATCCTCAACACGGATTGCGATTCGACGCCGGCATCTCCAGGTGGGGCGTGCAACATCTTGGAGTTCCAGTGCCGGCGCCAACGCCGAGTAGTTCGTTCGACCTTCAGTGGCGAACTGAATGGGTTGGTTGACACCCTGGAGATTCTCCTGGTTATCCAGATATGCTTCCACCAGATTTACCACGGCTGCGCGGCGACAGCCAAGAGCCTGGCGGACGACTTGGACAACGGACGACTCCAACCTCCAGTAGACGCAGCAGTTGACGCCAGGAGCGTGTTCGATTGCTTGGCCGCCACAGACGTGGGCGAACTCGTTGAGGGCAGTCTTAAGCTGCACGTTCTCTCTCTTAGGGAGCGCCTGCAGTCTGGCACCCTGCGGCGCCTCTTCTGGACGGACACAAGGGATATGTTGGCGGACGGCCTCACCAAAGGGTCAGTTCCTCGTGACCAGCTGATTGCTGTCAGCAACAGAGGCGAATACCGCACAGCGCACGCCACGGCCAGCACGACCGTGAGGAACGGCCGCAAGCAGACCACTGGCAGCACGGTAGTACGAAACACTTGAGGCAATTGAAAATGTCTCATCACCAGCGGCAAGTGAAAAGTTGTCGCAAAGAAAGCCGCACTTGCGCCAGGGGAGCTCCGGCGAGTACGGCGGCCCTGCAGTGAAGACGCGTAGGGTTCCGGGCATAGAGATGTGCCTGTAGCAAAGACCTGTTTAGGTCAACCCCTGCATGGGAACATGTAGGGTCAGACACGAAACTGTGTCTGCTGAGGGGTGTAATTCGTAGGAACTGACAGCCATGACATAGGCTGTCTGTGTAAAATAAACAGGCAGCCAGCAGTCATGAAATAGACTGCCTCGCCTGTCTCTCTCTTCCTCGTCCTCCCCTCCCCTTTGCTTGTCGTGAGTAAGATGTCACGAAGCAGGCAGCAATGATGAGGTACCATGTGATAGGTATCAGCTGTGTGTAATAATCTCCATAGCAGCAGTGTGGGTGTTATCCTAGGTAACTGCCGGAGAACAGCTAGGCGGGGCAAGAGACAGCCTGCCACGTGCAGGAGCGTGGGCATTGAAAAGTGCTCGCGTTCCATATAAGGCATCGCGACATAGATGTCGGTTTCACAGATAAGGTTTTCGACGCGCGTCACTTTCGGTGTTTTTCGGGCGCGTGGAGGCGTGGCGCTAAGCAGGAGGAGAGTGGATCGGGAGATTTACACCCCCGGCCCCTTCGGTGCTTAGCATTCCCCCCTCCGCGCGCGCCTCCGTCGCTATTTAGCTCGCGAGGCAAACCGCTCTTCGCCAGAGGAGTGTAGCAAATCATACAGCAACACCATTTCTCTTCCACATCTTACTTTTACCATCCATCTCTTGATATTCTTCTTATTCTCCCACTTCGTCTTGAAGATCTTCCTGGCGGTCTTCTCTGCGAAGCGCCGGCTGGCGCTTCAACTCGATCTTCGTTTGAGGAGGGGATCTCGCTGTGATGCAGAAGGATCCTGAGGGAAACGGGTCTTTGTTTCTTCTCCGTCCTCTGCCTCCCTGCCTCCCTGCCAGGGCCCCTGCTCCCCGAAAGGCCCTGGGGTCCAGGACCTGGCTGCCTCAAGATACATTTCCCGTCGTGATACGAGGGCTTCATGGACGCGAGCGATTATCACTCTGACGCGAGCCGTCTTTGAGGCCAACGCCCGTGTGATAGTTTGTTAGCTAATTACGCGTGTTTTGTCAATCATCTTGGTGGTGGCCCGATGTCTATACTGGTCTCGAGCCGTTCGGCATATCTCAACGAGCGCTTGACATCTCTTCCTCTTCGTCCTCCTCTGCGTCCTCTATCCCTCTCTTCCTCCTCGTCATCCTCCTTCTTCTTTTTCTCCTCCTCCTTCTCCTCCTCCTCCTCCTCCTCCTCCTCTTCCTCCTCCTCCTCCTCCTCCTCCTCCTCCTCCTCCTCCTCCTCTCCTCCCTCCTCCTCCTCTCTCCTGCCTCTCCTTCCACCCTCACGCGCGCGCGCGCGCGCGCGCGCGCGCGTTGAAGCTCGTGAGGAGAGCGCGGAGAAGGGGACAAGAGGAACTATTTGGACAAATTCTTGACACTTCGCGTAACCCCACCAGTGCTGGCGACTCGGCCATCGTTTACCTCGCCTTCGCGACCACCAGGCGTGAGAGGGGTGTGGGCAGGCAGCTCACCTACGTTCTCGCCTTCACTGAGTGGTCCACGCCGCAGGGCGTACACCGAATTCCCTGGCATTTTGCTCTGGGCTGCACGATGCTCGAGCTTCCCTGGGTGCTGTCAGCCAGTCAGCCCTCACCCTGCTGCCCCAGCGGCCGCCTTGTGAGCTGGCCCGGCCGGCCTGTTCCGCGCCCTGCAGCTAAGTAGGTCTGCTTCCGTGCCCCGGACAGCTTCTGTCTCCGCCTGCGCTCTTCGCTCGCGGACGCGACCGAAAAAGTAACCCCACCAGTTTTGCGCATTTTAGGCAGTAGATAGCGCGCTATGACTTTGACGGCGTGCGGCCCCTCCGTATCGCTAGCGATCAATGAGTACCCCCACCAGCCCATCCAGAGACGATGCCCAAAGGAGTTGCCTCGATCCGGGAAGGGGGCAGCACACAGAGGACGTGTCCCTCTTGGAGCGCTCTTGGAGGTCTCTTGGGCGCCTCTTGGGGCCCTCTTGAGGCGCTCTTGGGGGCCTTGGGAGCGCTCTTAGGGCCATATTGGAGGGGAGCTCTCATTACGACCCCCCTCGGCCTCTCGGGCCCCTCCTAGGGCGCTCTTGGAGCCCACCTGGGCTCTTGGGGCCGTCTTAGGGCTATCTTGAGCCTCTCTTGCCCTCAAGGGCATCCTGGGCTATATTGAGCCATTTGGGAGGTCATCTTGGGCTCTCTGAGGCGCTCTTGGAGCCGTCTTGGGCCATTTTGGACGTTCCAACGCGTCGCGGAACTTCCCGTCCGGGTCCAGGGGAAGGGGGTAGGGGGAGTGAGAATCCTTTTCCGAAGGTGAAAAAGGGGGTTGAAAGAGAACGCTCTTTGGACCACCTACGCCCAGAGGGCCCGTTGGATTTAGACATGCCCGAGGGGCCGAGCTACACCCAACGAGGCAGGCCCACGAGAAGGGGGAAGGGCAGGGATGGAGAGGAGGGCGGAGGAGGGAGGAGGAGGGTGGAGGACGAGGGAGTGCAAGAGGGGGGGAGGAGGACGATGTAGACAAAAAGGAGGGGGATGTGGACGAGGAGGAGGGGCAGGTGGAATGGAGGAGGAGCGAGGGAGGAGAGGCCCCGACACCCTTCATGGAGCGTTAAGGGGTCCGTGGATCAGGAGCACCCTGAAGGTCCAGCTGCTCTCGCCTCCTCTCCTGCTCTACAGACTGCAGTCAAGTCGTTGACACAAGACCCACTCAGGGCTCGGGAAAGGCCCTGGCTTCCGAGCCGCCCCTTCGATCCCGATCTGGGATTCTACTCGTGGCCGGGGCTCGCCACGGCCAGGAGAGTCCCTTCGCTCCTTGCGTCGCCTGCCTGGTGGTAACACGGCGGCTGTACCGCACGCCTGGAGATCCGATGGGCTGTTTTTTTCCAACGGGACCCCGAATTCCCGACCCTTCCCCCAGGGCCGGCTTTTTATCCACACGTAGAGATCCGATGCGACGTGTTTTTCAACGCGGGCCCCCAAACGCCCGACCCCTTCCCCAGGGCCTGCCTATTATCGTGAGTGCATGGGCGGCGGCGTTTTGGTGCATCGGCGCCTTTTATCCTTCTAGCCTTGTAGTGCTTCGGCGTTCCCGTGGCTTCGCGAGCGTCTGCATACAGTCGGGCCGCTGAAAGAAGGATCGCTAAGTAAGAAACGAAGCCCCTTCTTGGCCCTGTAAGCGCCTCCGTGCCCCAGGAGGGCAAGATGAACAGCACTGGAGGAACCTAAGGAACATCGAGCCCCGAACCCAAGCTGTTCCCTACTTCAGCGTCTTGATGGTGGCACGATGGTTCCATCCCCCGCAAGGCAACATCACCGTCCAGCTGCGCGGCACCGTTGGCGCCGGGGTGCCTGCTGCGGGGCAGGCCCGCGCGGGCCGCGGCCGCGGCCGGGCCGTGCACAAGCCGGGGCGTGCGATGGGCGGCCCGCCGCACGCGCGCGTGCGCGCGCCCGAGCGCAGGCGCGCAGGCGCGGCCGGTGCGCACGCACGCACAAGCGCGCGCATCCAAGAGCGCACCCACGCACTTCTGCGTGGGCGGCCGCGCTCCTGGCAAAAGCGTGTCGGTGGGAGTAAGAGCGGGGACGCAGCACATAAAAGTCCCGAGAGCGAGGAGAGGAAAGGCGGGCAAGGAGAAGCGGCGGACGGGGCGGCGGGAGCTCACCAGTCGAATCCGATGCCCAGCCCCCGCCCTCGAGACTTTACAGTGTTGGTCTGCGAACAAAAACAGCAACAACAACAACCGTCATCTAGGAATGAGTGCTCATTCGTTTTGAAGCTGTTCGGTCTTCGTGGCTCGCGTGCCATTCGACATGTGTGCCCCAAGCCCTCGATACACGCTTCTTCGTCTCCGATCGGGCCACCTTTGGGTGTCCATCTTCTTCAGCTGCCTCGTGTAGCTGGCGCGGAATGTTCCAATATATGAGGAGAAAGTGGTGGAGAAAGAGGAGGAGAAGGAAGAGGACAAGAATGGGAGAGCGGTAATAGGAGGAGGAGGAGGAGGAGGAGGAAACGAAGGGCAGCAGCGAGCTCTGGCCACGGAGGGCAGACCTATGGTAGCGAGCGTGAGCTGCGGTGCAACGAAAGGCAAGGCAGCTAGGGCGCGAGCGCCGCGCTGGGGTCACGAAGGCCGCGAAGGGGCCACCCGGAGCAAGAACGACCTGGGGCAACGCAAGGCAACACGGGGCCGCGACAGGCAGCGATATGACCACGCATGGCAAGGCGGAGGCCACGAGGGGCAGCGATGGGGGCCGCTGGGAGCGCAAGTGATCGGAGCCACGAGGAGCATCTATGAGACCAGGAAAGGGAAGCGAGAACGGGTCGAGGGCGAGTGCACGATTCCTGAGTGTCGAGGGCGCGTGCCTGAGTAAATTGCAGCGGATTCTTGGTCGAAAGCGCCATTCCTCGGCTAACTGCTAGCAAGTTTCGTTCAAACGCGCGATTCCTAAGTAAATTCAAAGAAAGTCTCAAGCGCGAGCTGTCGTTGTTGTAGTCCCGGGGCCAGGGGCGCAGGATGAGCAGGACGCCTTCCCCTGATAGAGACAGGGTGCGAGCCCCCGAGGGGGGGCACTTGAAGTAAACACACAGAATAGGCACCAGTGGAGGGATCAACAACCATTATTCTTTTGACATGGGAACTCGACAGGAAGCCGCACCGCGGAAACCCGCTTCCGCCGCGCACCCACGGACAGTGCACGGAGCTCTCGGATCGGCATGGGGCCCCCCGTGGCGGCCGAGGGAGTGGGCCCAGCGCCGATCCACGAGATCCGAGCGGACCTCCGAATGCTTTTGTGTCCGTGCCGCTTTTTTTCCTCAGCTCAAAGGCTCGGCATCGCTCGGACGTGTGCATTTCTTCTCGGCGTGAGCCATCGAGGACCATCCCAGACCATCGAGCAACAACAACACGCACGAAACCGAACCATGCACGGGAAATGGACGTCCGAGCGACGGCAAGGAATGCTGGTGTTCATGCCGCTTTTTTGTGTTGCCTCAGCTCAGAGAGGCGTTGGCGTGAGTCGGGGGCGTCCCCCCGGGGTCGCCGTGGGCGGGGGAGGCCTCTGGGCGCCGGTTGCACTGAGCACCTTGCGAGGCCGATTCGGCGTCACCCCAACATACTTCTACTATACGTGCGTCGCCCACCGGGGGGCGACCCGCGCACCAAGAAATCGTATAGTATATGCGTAGTGGCGGGCGTTTTCTGGCCACACCGCTCGGGAAACGACATACTACGAGATGGGTATGCTATGTGTTCGGGTCGGACGCGTGCCTCCAAGGCGGACATGTAGTATTAGTATGTCTCTGTGCGTATCACCGATCACGAATACCAATTTCATGGCTCTTCTGGGGCGTGGGCTCCCAACTGTTCCGAGCGCCGCACCCCTGTAGGTTCTCTCACTTCGGGGTGGTGGCCGGAGTGCTGGTGGTTCCGCTGGTCTCAGACAAGACATGAACCCGAGATGCGTCAGTCAGCATCGTTTAAGCGGTCCCCGTCCTAATTGGGTCACGGTGTCTCAGCCCGCCCAGTCCACCCCCCAAGGTGGGGATATGCCCCACGACACCCGAAGAGAACATCAGATATCCCCATCCAGGGGGAGAAGTGGACCAATGGGGTGGGCCCACGGCCATGCTGATGCTCACCCAGCACGGTCTCGTAACCTCAAACGGTGGTCATGGTGGTGGGAGGGTCCTGCTCGGACCGTCTGCATATAACATTCTGGTTCGGCCTATTCGAGCAGTCTGTCACTGTGCAGGCAGACAGCAGCAACCACCATTGCACCAACCACCAAGCCTTTAGTTCGATCAAGTTCTGAGCCGTGAGGGTTCTGCCTATCTAAGAGTTTTGCATCCGCTTTGACTGTGAGAGCCTCCGCGCACTCCTTCACCTGCGAGGCGCACGGTGGTGGATCTATGAGAGACGGTGCCCCACCGACGGTGTCTGCTGCGAATTGTGCCTTCGCCACGGCCGGCGGGTGGGTTGGATTGACCGTGCCGGCCGGCCCAGCAGGTCACGGTTGCCGCGCAGACCCCCGTGGTGCTCGCGCAGGGCTACAACCCCTACTGAGCCAGGGCAACTCCTGCCGCGCGGAGGGGCAGCGCCTGTGGGCCTCGCGTGCTGCTGCGGCGGTCATGCTTGGTTGTAGCGATGATGCTTGACGATGGCGGCGATGGTGGTCAGAGGATGCTCCCCTCGTAGTGGGGACGGTGACGATGACGGCATTGCTCATGGCATCGACAGTGCTCCTGGCCGGTGAGGACGATGAAGACGAGGACGATGGAGAGAGGGAAGCAGAATATGGAAGCGCGTGTCAAGGAGAGGGAGGACCGAAGCATCCGACGTCGTGGTTTGTCGCATCGTGGCTGCCCAACGGCCAAGACTCTTTCCCCCAGGAACAAGCGTTCACCCTGGAAGGTGATCTGACGGTCCCCGGGGCTTGCTGAGGGCGCTTAGAGGTCGAACATTGCAAAGAACTGTTTCCCGCTTGATCTTTCCACGGCGCGAGGATGTCAGGGGCGAAGAAGCGCAGCGACCAGCTGTGTTGGGGAGGACGTCAGGGGAGCAGGAGGAGGAGGAGGAGGCGGAGGAGGGGGAGGGGGAGGAGGAGGAGGAGGAGGAGGAGGAGGAGGAGGAGGAGGAGGAGGAGGAGGAGGAGGAGGAGGGACGTCAGGATGCCACGACGGCGAGGATGTCAGGGGAGCGCGCGGAGGAGGAGGGGAGGAAGGGGGGAGCGTGGCGGGCGACGGGAGGATGCGGAGACAGCTTTCGAAGAAAAAGAAGAAGGAGACGAAGAACAATAGTAATAATCATCAGAATAATAATCATGCGAATAATAATGATAAGGCAAAACAATGGCCATAAGAACGATACAAATAGCAATAACAACAATAATATTAAGAATAATAATGCTATTAATAATAATAAGAATAATAATAAGAAGAATAAGAAGAATAAGAATAATAATAAGAAAAATAAGAAGAAGAAAAAGAAGAGCGTCGGAGGGGCAGGAAGTCATGATAATGATACGGCCTCCAAGACTTTTGAGATGCCCGAGAGCCCGTGTGACTTCGCCACGGCGGCGAGGGGGCGTCGGGGGGGGGGGGGGGGGGGGGGGGGGAGAGGGGGGGGGGGGGCGCGGCGAGGTGAGGCGCCCCGAGGAGCGCCCCCCGCGGTGCCGTGCTCGCTCGTTCCCTTCGCGGCGGCGCGCACGAGGGGGTCGCCGCCTCCGCGCCCAGGCTGCTGGAGGGGGGAGGAGGACGAGGAGGAGGAGGAGAGAGGAGGAGGAGGAGAGGAGAGGAAGAGAGAGGAGGAGGAATGAGGAGGAGGAGGAATGAGGAGGAAGAGGGGGAGGAGGAGGAGGAGGAGGAGGAGGAGGAGGAGGCGGAGGAAGAGGAGGAGGAGGAGGAGGAGGAGGCGCGAGGAGGCGGGTCGCGCGCACGAGCGTGGCGCGCGACGAGCGGGGGCGGCGTCGGTTCTCGAAGGAGAGCTGGTGCGATCGGAGGCCAGGTGCTCTTCCTGTCCCTTTTGGACGGGACTCGTTGTCGGTGTCGGCGCGGGCGTTGCCCATTTGAGACTGGAGGTCGCCTGCCCGACAGCGGCCGCCGTCAGTTGCTGACGACGTTTTTGCATTTTTTGCACCCATTGCGGGCGTCCAAATCGCCGGTTTTCCTCGATTTCCAGAACCCCCAGGGCCTCCAGGATTCCGTGCTGTTCCGCACGGGCCCCAGAAGCGAGGGCCGCCAGCTACCCCGCAATGTCTGGAGTTGTGGAGGACGATCAATGGAGAGGAAGCATGCGGCCAAATAACTTCCAGATGTCTAAAACATGGTTCAAACATGTCTTAAGCATAGAAAAAAACAGGTTTCAAACATGTTTGGTAATCCATTTCAACACACATCTTGGATTCGATGATCGGATTGTTAGAGTGTTCATTGCCATGGCATCCACAAGTCTGGAGCGCATCCCGAGGCAATCGCACCGTGACGTCGTCTTCGCCCTCCACTGGCCTGAGCATCAACTCTCCGAGAGGCCCGCGCGGATTTCTCGGACGGGCGCTGGGCCCCGCTCCGGCGGCGCCTCCGGCGCTGCTCCTGGCGCGCTCCGTGCTCCCGGGGGGGGGGCGGTGTCCAGCGCCGGCCCAAGAGGTCCGTGCGTGCCCCCGGAGGGTCCTGGTCGATGTGATCTTGGGCGTTGCGTAATGGAGGGGGTCATAAATGGGGGGGCGGCGAGGGTGGTCCGAAAAGGTACCCAAACGGTGCCTAAACGAGCCCCCTGGGGCTCCAGAGGGGCCCGAAAGGGGCACGAAAGGGGACCGTTTCTGACCCCCCCATTTATGACCCCCCCATGAAGCCACGCCCAATGATCGTTTTCTGACTCATCGTTGGGGGCTTCTCGGGGGCTTCTTGGGTACGTCGGGGGGGATGCCTTGGGGGTCTCCTGGGAGTTCGCTGGCGGTCTCGGAAGGTGTCTGTCAGACGCCTACGGCGAATCATCGCCGCCCCTTGCCTTTTGGAAACGCCTATGCGGCCAAGCGTTGGGGTTAAAGTTTGGCCAAGGCGTTGGACCTTGTGTTCCCCCAGCCGAAGTGTGGTCATCTTGAGTCCGTCTTGGGGGCCATGCTGGCCGTCCTGGAGGCCATACTGGACCATCTCAGCAGTCTTGAATGCCATCTCTTACGTGTCTTACGTGTCTTCCATCAGATATTTGCAACCCGAATTCAACACAAGCTGGCACATTACGGAGTATGTACATCATCATATGTACGAGCGTTGGCTCCACGTAAGGCTATTCGAGTTGACCGGAAGGGCTCAGTTGGACTCCACCATAGCCATAGGATTCCATTGGGCTCCAATGAACTCCATCGGGCTACATAGGACTCTGTTGAAATCCATTCGACTCGATTCGAACAACCATACGATTCCATTGGACTTCATTGGACTCCATTGATCTCCATTGACTTCATTGAGCTCCAAACGACTCCACTGGAGTTCAATGGGGAAAAACACGACGAACGGTTTGTGGCGCTTCCAGCTTCTGGGGCCGGGCCCTGCGGCTGTCAAACAACGACCCACGATGAAAAGCAGGTTCCCGGGAAGAGGCCCATATTTCAGGGGAGCCTCATTGCGAACAACTCATGACGTCGGCTGTCTGGGAAGCTGTGCGCGCGGCATCAGCCCTCCCCTCCTTCTCCCTCTGCTCCTCCTTCACGCTAAGCGTATGTATATCTATGTGTACAGCTATGTATCTGTATTTGTGTCTGTGTATATATGTATATAGGTGTTTATACATGTATGTAGTTGCGTGTATAAGTGTTGTATAAGTTTGAGTTTGTACATATGTTGGGCCCATCTTGGAGCTCCAAGATGGCCAGGTTGGAACTCCAAGAGGGGCCATCTTGGGCCCCTCTTGGAGCTCCAAGATGGCCGAAAGAGAGGCCCAATATCGGTCACGCGAGAGATCTTTCGCGTGACCGATGTTGGGGTTCTCTTGGGGCCCTCCCGGGGCACTCTCGGGGCTCTCTTTGGCCCCTCTTGGAGCTGTAAGATAGCCGACAGAAGGGCCCAAGATCGGTCACGCGAGAGATCTTTCGCGTGACCGATGTTGGGGGCCTCTTGGAGCCCTCTTGGGGCCCTCTTGGGGCCCTCTTGGGGCCCTTTCGGGGCCCTTTCGGGGCCCTCTGGGGGCCATCTAAGGCCCGTCCTGGAGCTCCAAGATGGCCGAAAGAGGGGCCAAGATCGGTCACGCGAGAGCTCTTTCGCGTGACCGATGTTGGGCCCCTCTTGGAGCTCTCTTGGGGCCATCTTGGGGCCCCCTCGGGGCCATCTTGGGGTCATGTTGGGCCCCTCGTGGAGCTCCAAGATGGCCGAAAGAGAGGCCCAAGATCGGTCACGCGAGAGCTCTTTCGCGAGACCGATGATGGGGCCCTCTTGGGGCTCTCTTGTGGTCCTCTTGGGGCCCTCTTGGGGCTCTCGGTCCGTATGCATTTTATGCGTGAGCTCTTTCGCGAGACCGATGATGGGGCCCTCTTGGGGCTCTCTTGTCGTCCTCTTGGGGCCCTCTTGGGGCTCTCGGTCCGTATGCATTTGATATATCCCGAGGCATACATATGTACAAACTCGAACATATACAACATACATATATATATATATATATATATATACAGCTGAAGGTACATGTACAAACACATATACATATACGAACACAGCTGCATGTACACACATGTACATATACACATATACGTATATGTACATGCGCTGTTCTCTTATGTTGATGTTATGTTCTGGATGTTCTGTGATGTGCTGCTCTGTCCCTCCCTCCTCCCTTCTCCCTCCCTCCCTCCTCCCCTTCTATCCTCTGGAAGCGGCACGGGCCGCGGGAACGGGAGCGGGAACGGACCCCTGGGGCGTTCGCGCGCCTCTACGGGGAGGCCCCCGGCGCGGGGGCCGGGGGGAGCCCGCTCCTGCTGCCGTGGGCGGCGCCCCCTCTCCCCCTCCCCCCCCCCCTCGGGGCTCGCCGCCGAGGAGGGGCTCCCCGGGAGGCCCTCCAGAGCGGCTGCCAAGAGGGCCCCAAGACGGCCCCCACGAGAGGCCCCTCCTCCTCCTCCTCCTCCCTCCTCCTCCTCCTCCTCCTCCTCCTCCCCCTCCTCCTCCTCCTCCCCCTCCTCCTCCTCCTCCCCCTCCGGCCTCCGATGGGGGGGGAGGGGAGGCGGCGTGGGCCCCTCCCCCGGGGAGGTGGAGTGCAGATTGGAGCGGGGGGAGGGGCTGGAACGAGCACGAGGACCAGGGCGAGGGCGGCTAGACGCCCACGAGACAATTCAGATCATGAGGGGCACGGGCCCTCAGACGGACAGCGTTGGAGCACCGGCCGGTCGGGCCCTCAGGGGCAGCGACAGAGGGGGGGGGGAGTTTCGGGTTCGAGGTTTGAGGCTTTCGGACGTTTCGTCGGTTCTCCGCGCGGTTTTCCGGCCTCGGCGTGCTCTCAAGCTGCCTACGTTTTGCCGAGCGCTCTCTGCAGGTGCGCGGATCATCCCGAAAGGACGCCAGGGAGCCGAGTTATGACCCGAAAGC